TGACTTAAAGGCTTTTTAACTTTGGTATATGTTTTTAAACGATAAAAAAAGTAAATATCTAACCTTTTAGGATAAACCACCATTAAGTCATATGAGGCAAAAATGGTGAAGCTTAAAAAATAATCCAGGCCCCCAAAAGAGTTCTCTGGCCAATGAATACCCTGGACACCATTTGGATCCTTAGTATGAATTGTATATACAGTATGAGACTGCCTGTTTAATGACCTGGAAGTATTTTACGTAATTGTAGGAGGCTGTTACCATGTTTGAAGATTTCACCTTAAAAATCAAGAACGTCACGAAAGACAAGGCCGGCCTAGAAGAGGTTAAAACACTGAAAACATCCATCTTTGAGGTGGCAGAGGCCATCGAGAAATTTGCTCTTAATTACGGCAACCGACACCTGAGAGGAATGAGGCTTTCAGAAAGGATCGTTTCCCCCAAAATGGGTGAGTTTGCGGCCTTCAATCCTGTTTTGTTTCAAAGTCTATTCCTCCGTTACTTACTAACTTGCTGACTGTCCCACTGAGTTGTCTAATTTCCTATGGCATGATGTAAGAACTCAGCTATTAACCCAACTTATCAGAAATGTTATTGTTGGATGTCATCGATTCACCTGTTTTTTTAAAATTTTGTTTGATACTTTGATTTTTCGCGGTGGAGAAGGAAATTGAACGTTCTCTTAAACAATCAACAAGAGAGAATTGGAATCCTTCAAATTGTGAAACCATTCTTCTCGATCTGTTTATTGAAACTTTTCTTAAATAATAGATTGGTGAGTAAAACTTTACTAACTAAAATTGTCAAATCTTAGAAATACTTTCCGCTTACTTCATACCGTACACTGAGCTCAAAATTGGCCAATCGTCTGCGATGCACATAAATGCAAGATTTTAAACCGTACTCGTAAAAATTTCCAAATGAACTCTATAGTTCTCCAACGAAACGGTTCGAGGAACGAATTGAGTTTTCACAATTTTAGTTGGTGCAGCACTACTCACTTTTTCATCAGTTTTACATTGAAAAAAGGTCGTAAAATGGTTGGATTCGTCGAATAGTCGTTGAAGGGCAAATACGATACAAACAATACACTTCCATC